AAAAGAATACAAAAATTTAATACGTCTCAATCGATAAATATGAAGTTAATAATGCCCGAAAACAAGCCAAAGACACAGCAATTGATCACCCCAAAGTAACCGGCTCCACTACCCTGCTCGCGAATAATTGCGTTCGAGTTGCCGATAGGTGATCTACGAAATCCTGCGAGTGTAAAGTGTTGAATACAAATGAGACCGAATTTTTCGACACTCGCAGAAGCTCGTTGATTGCATCCTTTTTTACCTGTAGCATCTCGCGTTACCTGTTACTGGCGGGCATCGATTATCCCGCCGTGTCGTACACAGGATTTTTAAAACGCAGTACCGTGAGCAATTACGTATTCATTAGAGCACAGAAGAGCTATGTACTTGTCTCGGAGGTGGTAGTTCCCGTGCTTCCCCAAAATGTCCTCGATCGCGGCCATAGCGTGATCCATTATCTGAAAACGGAAACGTCATTTCCTCTCTCTCTCTCGCTCTCTTTCTCTCTTTTTCTCTTTCTCTCTCACACTTTCTCACTCGCTCTCTGTCCGCAGCTTTTTAACTGGTCGTTTTTTTTTCCACGCCCGGCGAGAACGGTGCAGGCCAGACCGCGGTCGCTTATTATATCCGTTATCTGGCGTGATATATGCTAAGAGTATCAACCACGAAACGACTCGGTTAATTTACTGGGCCATTGTTCTTGTTTTGACACGTTCATTTGCGAACGGGCCGCGGCCGAGCTTGAAAATCAATGCGATCCTCGTGCACACGCGGACGGCCAACGATTATTGATTCCCCCGTATCGCGGCCCGGCTATTCTTTTACAATATTTACATTAACGACACACGAGGATGTGGCCGGCAGCCGCGTCTCTATAATTTATAACGCGGGCACCCTCTCCCCCCTCCCCCCGAACCTCTTGACCGCTCCACCTTCCATCGTCTAGTATTTTTATTAACCGATCGATCCCCCGTTCCGATACAACGAATTGTTTTTCAACAAAAGTGAAGCCTCGCACGCACCCTCTCGTGGATCCTCTCGTTCATCGTCGGCTTCTTCCTCTCGGCCCTCTTCACGTTCAGGATCTTCACCAGCGGCTTGATCGTGATACCCTGAAAACGGTAGGGCTGGTCAGTTTCTCGTGCTCGACTCGTTACCCGGTAACTCGCTACGCGGCACAGGATTCATTCAGACTACTACTGTGTATTTGAACAGCTGCGACGCGGTCGAGCCTGGAGTCGCTCGGGAACACGGGGACGTAGGCTGTACCTGAGAACCGGAGAATGTGTGCGTTTCGTCGGCGGAGATGTATGATTGTCGGATATTTCCGTAAGGCGAGAAGAATTAGGGGAGATGAATATAGAGGTGGCCTGAAGAAGCTCGCGACGAGTGTCTACTTGAATGAAAAGATTCGTGGGTGGATCCCTAAGTAGCCGGGCAAGGCAGGAGTGGCTTAATTCAGTGCCTAACGAGCGCTAAACGACTCTACGTGTCGTCTCATAAAAATTACAAGATTCAATTGATTCAGTTCTTCGTTAAGCCGTTTCCCATGAAAGCGTATTCTCGACTATGCGATTTTTAGCGCCAAGTATCCGGTCTCGTGGATTAGTACTTGGGAACTGAAGAAACTGGGTGCTTGTCTATGTCAAGGTCATTTTAATAGCATAGTACGTTAATAGTTATATTAATATACTATAGTAATATACAGGGTGTCCCAAAAATGTCTTGTAATCTGGAAATGGCGGGTTCCTCGGATCATTTGAAGCAACTTCTTCCTTTACAAAAATTTTCTCCGAGGCACCGTTAACGAGTTATTAACGAAAAACAGTGACCAATAAGAATCGAGTACGGCTGACGCGAGGCGGCCCAGCGCACGAAGCCCAGTTCCGCTCATTGGCACGATCGCCTCGCGCTAGCCGAGCTCGCCTCTCATTGGTCACTGTTTTTCGTTAATAACTCGTTAACGGTGTCTCGGAGAAAATTTTTGTAAAGGAAAAAGTTGCTTCAAGTGACCTGAGGAACCCGCCACTTTCGGATTGTGAGACATTTTTGGGACACCCTGTATAATAGTTATATTAATAGCATAGTGGGCAGACTGAAATGATTACTACAACGACGTTGAATTTAAACAGTGACAGAAAACCAATCGCTATGCTGCGGATTTGATAAATTTACAGCAAAAATTGGTGCACGGAACGGTAAAAACACCAGTGCAATAATCTCATTGCACCGTTTTCAATTTATCGAAACTACTGAAAGAAGAAGTACGTCTTCACTTCCGTTCTGTATTACAATTAACACCGACAGGTTTTATCTAAAAAGGAAAACAATTCGAGTCATTTAGTCTGGTCTTAAGAAAAGTTATTGCGCTTTGAACGATGTCCGAATACATTTGTCCGGTACCGTATTGTCCGGTCACGATGAACGAGACGAACGCAGGATTGATTTGAAAAGGATCGAAAGCGGACGCGAGCACCCGAGAGAAATTGGAACCGGTACAAAGTTGAAGAATAAAATAAGTGAAATAAAGGAGGAAAGATAAATGCAAAGACACTCGTAATATGGGACATGAATAATAGAGTATTAGGTGCCCGGCGAGATAAAGCGAAGTTCGAGCGACCGGGAAAAATTGAATTTTCTTGTAGAATGTCGTGAAACCGGCTACAAAGACGTGTCCCCGTGTACAGCTACGGTATTAAAATAAATGTTGAAAGTTCCCGAGTCACGTGCACGCGTGTGCATAGATTCACACGTTAGCAAGCGGTGCACTATTATCGTGGTAATACGAAGCCCCGCAACCAAAAAAGAATCGCCCCGGTCAAGCTGCTCTTTAGCGCATAAGTTATGCAGGATCGAGCGGTTGTCGCGAGCCGGTGTGCTCCGAATGCCACCATCGATATCGAGTTTCCGATCGACCGGCCGGCAAAGTCGATGGTGTTTTTAGAACTAATGGAACCACGGGAGCCGGTCCCACTCCAATCGCAAACAGGACGCGCCTTCAGGATGAAAGGGGGTGTATTTTTCCCATTCCATCGTGCTCTTTACCCGCCCGTGACGCTTAACCTTTCGCAATCTAATTGCGCCTCGTATTTGATTCGCTCTTATTTTAGACCGTTTTAATTCCTCCTGCGGAGGAACTTCCGCGGAGAATTAAAAGCGAATCATTCTGCGCGGGGCGATGACGGCCGCCATATGAGCGATCGGGAGAACCAGCGCCGCTTTCCGAGCCGACTAACGTCTATCCCGTCCTCGGACCCGTTCCGCGCGACGGCCGCGCGCGTATAAAGGAAGAAAAGAATCTTTCGCGTCGCTTGTATCCCCGCTAATATCACGGGGAGATATACTTGCGGCCACTAGACCGTGCTCCGGATCGCCGTAAATGCCTACGCCCGGACGGGGCCGAGTTTATCCCCGGTTGTCTATGATGGTAAAATGACTGAGCCGAGTAATAAAAGTCGGTGCGCGCCGCGGGCAGAAACGTGTAACCGTACAATTTGTGGTAACGGGCCAGCGTGCATTCTTTTCTTCCGCACGCGGCCCCATGCAAAGCGATCGTTGCTCGGCTGCTCCTGCCACCCGGAATCTAATCGAAAAGCCCCGGAGTTATGGCCCCGCGCAACGATAGATAATAAATTTCAGAAAACTTCGAGGAGGCACGCTTCACCTAATCGAACATTAATTCCTGTCGAAATTCCGCAGCGATCCGGGAACCTCGCACGCTTGGAAAATCGAGGATGACAACGTTCGACGCGTTATCTATCATAATCTTTTCCTTGCGCTTAAGCGTTAAGTGTTACCCTTTTCAATTGCCATCTTGTTGGAGTGAAATTTGTCGAATTGGACAGATCTATTTTTACTTTCTTTTGTATTCTCATATTAGCTACTATATCTTTTCGTACAAAGATATGCACGTATTTTCTGAAACTGTTAGTAGACATTTTTAAGAACACCGTAGGAGGGTTAAATTGAGGCAGGATTTGCACGATTTAAAATTGTTTAAGGAGTAGGTACTTTTTGACTAGTATCAGAGATATCTGTAAGAAATTAAATAAAAATGTCTTCCTTCTCTAGTCGCTTTAAAATGTCGAAATTGTAACAGCGTTGTTAAAATCTTCCGATATTCTCTCAAGTTTTTTTTCCCTGCTCCATTTTATGCTTCCATGGCAAGAATAATTGCGTGAAATAAAAAACAGCAGTCATTTCAGGTGAATTTAATTTCTAATCAATTCTTGTGTCTTGCATTATATTTCTTCTTGAATTTTAAACTCTTAAAATTTCGAATTTGCAAGTTCGAAAATTTGGAACTTGTAAATTTGGAACTCAATTTAAGGAACTCCAAACCTAAAAATTAAAGGATACGAAAATTTTTCGAATAGGTATTAAATCTATAAATTCCGGAATTCGAAAAATTCGCAGCCTCGGCAATTAGAGGATCCGATCGACTAGAATTGCGATAGTTCGGAAATTCGAAATTGGAGTTTAAAAAATGACAGCGAAACAGCGGGGAGAATCATTTGACGATCGATGGTGGATTCCAGCGTGACGAATCGAAAATTTAATAACAGTCAATTCGGCCGGTTTTATTGAACTGTTCCCGGGTCTAAATCAACATTTCTAAAAGTTTGCCTCTGTGCAACCCCAGCACCGTGGAGCGCCGAGTGCCACACTTCGGGGGATGTTGATTTAGAGAAAAGGGATTTTCCTGCTATTATAGTACCCTCTTTAAATCGAACAACCTTTATCGTTATTCTTCTATGTACCTACATTCGTGCTCGGAAATTTTCGGGCAGTTACTTCGAGCATGGCCTCTATTATTCTCTCAAACACATTCTAGCTAGCCAAGCCCCAGTCGTACAGCGCCGATATTCGAATTCAATCATTATATTTTATAATATAAACATTTAAGGCTTTACACATGCATCAGGGGTGTTTTCAAAAGGAACATTTTTCTCTGTAGGAATTTCGTCTCTACCACGATAATATTATCACAGAAAACAAAATTATTCGGCCCTTTTCTGACTATTCAACCGATAAGCAGTATCGTTTGCTTATCGTGCGTTTATTTTCAATCGACGCAGAAACACAAATATTCAAGATAAGATTAGATTTTAGATTAAATTTTTTGAGTCAGAATTAAATTATGCACCGTAAAAATGCATCTTGCAGTTTTAATAAAGATATGTACATACATCGATTTTCGGATATTACCTCAATCCTCTGCCTTTATAATAATGAATCAGATTTGTGAAAAATGCTTATTGATAGTAATGAATCAGACTTGTAATGGAGAACAGCATGCATTGCCATGGTCGTTACCCTTTCTTTTCATATCGAAATACAATTCTATTTTTCGATTATTAATATGTAGTCATCTGTGAATGAATATTAATTTTCTTTCCTTTCTAGAAAATTATTAATATACAGTGAATTTTACGCATTCATAGCAGAAATGAATAGCTCAAAAATAAAAGAGCAATATCATTCGAGGAATTTTAAAGCATTGTTGCGGTATCTTCAGTTAACTGGCTAAGTTAAGCAAGCAAATAAATGTTAGTAATAAAATTAACAAATAAAACAGTCATTTCATTACAACTTAATTCTATGTTACAACAGCCACGCATACACATTTCAAAGTGATTGCAACAGTTGACTGTATAAAATTCTTAAGACATGATATTGAAAAGAAGAATGGCGAATCATAGAGTTGTCCATAGAAATTTAATAGAATTTCTGCGAAGCCGTCGAAGCTAAAGATCAGAAACGAATTCCCGACCATTTCTCAGCGAGAAAAGTTGAAAGTGGCGTGTGACAGGGGGTTAACGGTTCATATCTTTAACCCCACGGTATCCCTTTGACCATTGCTGGCAGCTGGACAGCTTGGGAAACGCGACACCGGCTGTTTGCTGAGATAATGCTACAATATTTGTTCTTGCGCGGGACGGGGCCCTTCTGTTATCCCGGCGCCGGGCGAAAAGTTCGGTTACCTGAATGAACACGGTGAAGTAGATGACGGCGATGGTGGTGGTGACGAACATCGGCTGCAGGGGCACGTGTTTCGGGTCGATCAGAAGGACCAGAGCGAATGCGACGGCGCCCCGTAATCCGCCGTAAGACATCACGAACTTCTCCACCTTGTCCAGTTTGTGCAAACGGAACTGATTCGCCACGGCTGACAGCACGATCACGCCTGAGAACAACGATAATGATTTTCGTTAGGGTCGGCCGGGGGGGTTTTACGGTGTCGCCGACGTGGCCTTCGTGAATTTTTAAGTCCGGCAGTCGCGTCGGACAATTTGCCGGGTAAACTGTCAGTGGAATCGAGAAGCCGTAAGCCAGCGACAGTAATCCACGATGCAAACTGATGGTTGCGGAAGGAGAGACGAGCGAATCCTTTTAAGTCGCCCGAGATTTCGTAACTTAAGGTGTCGCGCCGAAACGCCTTGAATAGCGTAGCGGGACCTGGTCTCTCTCCCCCTCCCACCGATTCTTTTGTCCCATTGTTCTCCTCCCGCGCTGACCAAAACTCCGTATCCCCGATAGCCGGTTATCGCGCACGGCTAGCGCAACGGCGAATTATACGGCGCGATAAAACGTTTAACGCGTCCCTGGAAAAATCAGAAACTAGCACGCCGTGAGCTCGCGTGAGAAAGTGACACGGATTAGATAATCTAATCCCCCTTTTAATATTCCAAACGTTTCATTTCGCGCGCCGCTCCGCGCCGCGCCGTTCGACGACGCTCTTTCAACCGTATTATTATCCTGCCCCTCTCTCCTGTATCTCATAAATGCTTATGACAGCTTTATAAAAACGATAAAAAACGTCTTTAGAATCGCATTATGCGAACGGAATCCGAAGTCGCTCTGCGTTTCCTCGGTAATATCCGAGTCGGCGCGGCGCTCTAAAAACAACTTTTTATATTAATCCGAAAGACGTTCCCGTGTATATTACATGCCGATAAGCTAATATATAGTCGGGCCGAGAATCGAGGCTCCTCGTATAAACTCTATATTCCTACCGGCGTGGATCCTGCCGGAGAATTTCCCCGAAAATCGTTCGAAAATGCATAAAACATGTCCTCCCACCCCCCCGAGCCGTGCCAAAGACGGTCCTCGAACTATCGTCGCGACGCGACGTCCTTGCTGGCGTGGCGGCCGTGGATCCGACTATAAGAAACGATATTCTTGGCACAATCCCGTAACCGGTAAGTGACACACGATAAGCGGTGATTGGTTTAAGCTTAAGCCCCTTATCCCGTAATACCATTAGCAAGTCGAACTCGTCGGAATCGCCCGGCGGGAGCATTACACATTCTCGCGAGTGGCCTGTATTGATTCGAACGACACGATTAAGGGTGCCCGAGCACTTCGAGACCGTGTCCCTAACTACGGCCAACCTTGTACCGGAGCTCGGCAAACGACTCTGAAAAACGGGCTGGAACGATCTCCTCGAAGATGCTCGTGAAACCTCGCCTCGCCGATCCCGGCTGATCGCGGAATGAAATCTCCTGTATACGAAAATAATTGCACCGGCAGGGATAATTAATTCGCGGAGCGAAAGGAGAACGCTGTTATTAATCTTACGGGGGAATTATGTAGAAACGGATTCGTCCGAGACTCTCCCTTTGTCTCCGAAGGTAGTACCTTCGGAGAGATCAAAAAGAGTCCGCTGCTCGGGTCTTCGGGGTGTCCTTAGGGGACGCGGCGCGGAAGATAATATGGAGAAAAAAAGAAACGATGTAACATCAAAGACAAATGTTCAATCAAATAATGGTGTTCAACCGAGAAGAGAATCTGTGTCTGCAATCTTCAATATGGCCGCGGCGGCGGCGTCCTTTCTGAGAGGTCTGGCGGCCTGGCGAAGACCAGGACGTTGGACGCTGAATCTTATCAAAGTCGGTTTTAATAATACTAAACTTTGATCTTTCGAAAAATCTCTTCGACAAACACGATGGTGTGTGCTGAACATTATTTTATCTTTTCCGTCACTGCTCTTGACATTCTGCCGTTCTATATTCGGCGCGACCATGCACCCGTTTCATTCAAATTGTTTTCTCTTCTTCGAGGATTCTTCCTACTTTGTGAATTTATAGTATGATTAGACTGTTAGATTGTTATGCAGTTTAAAGAATACTGTTATATTATTTTCAGTATATTAAAACTGTTAAAAGGAGAAATACGCTGTCATGTAAATCTTATTTTGTACAATTGAAGCACAAGGCTTGTATTTTGCATAAAAATCCGTAATCTAATGACACGTTTTTATTATCCCCTCGCGCTGTAAAACATCGTGTCAGACTGGTTGCGTAGATTTCGAACATAATCACCTAAATCTTGATACTGCGTACTATTGTCAAATCGAAATAAAATTCTGTTCTTCGATTATCAATATTAAAACGTTAATCTCGATCAGATAAAAAATAACCACCGGATCAGAAAAAAAGTGTCTTTTCGCAAATATTTGCCGATCGAATATCCGAGGCTTAATTTCTATAAACGATTGTTTTCTGAAAGAGGGTGCCCCGAACTGCATCGATAACAGTAAGAATAGGTGTTCGACAGAGCCGTGCAGAGTCGCACGGCTTTGTTGGGCACGGCTTGGAGTGGTTAGAGTGGGCTGGACAGCCATTCTAAACGGGTCTTTTGAAAAGCTGACTATAAAGTTCATAACACGTTAAAGCGACTAGTTTTCGCGTAAACGGTCTGTAGTTTGCAGGCAGAACTTACCGAGGATCCGATAGACCGAGCAGAAGACGATGGTCGTGAGGACAAACCATGTGTTCCAGTTGTGGTCGTTGTTCACGGTGGCTACCCCGAGGAACATGAATATAATGGTCTCGGATCCGCTCGACAGCATTTTCATCGTATATTTGACGGTGGTGTGCGACTTGTGCGATATATTGGCCTCCACGTAGTTCTTCATGGTTATGCCGCAGAAGGTGATCCTGCGATAAAGAGGCCACGGATAATGGGGGGAGGACTCAGGGTAGGACGCGTGCGAGCTCGGGAAACTCGAGTTATCGATCGTCTCGCGCCGTTTCCTAAACGCCGTCGAAATTAATTCGGACATACGATCCGGGACGGCGGCGTTTACAAAATCGATGTTCACGGTGTTAGGGGGACGCCTTCTCTCTCTCTCTCCTCCTCTCTCTCTCTCTCTCTCCTCCTCTCTCTCTCTCTCTCCTCCTCCTCTCTCTCTCTCTCTGTCTCTCTCTCTCCTTCTCTCTCTCTCTGCCTCTTTCTCTCTCTCTCTCTCTCTCTCTCTCTGTTTCTCTCGTTCTATCTCTCTCTAGGTCTGCGGTTATAACACGAACATCCCCGCCGAGAGAGATTTACGGGGGCGGGAACGTCTTACGTGGGACTCTCGTTAGCCGAGCTGATCAACTCCCGTGAAATATCAAGTCGGAAAACACTTACGGTGCCGTCGCGGTCTCTTTCGATGCGTCAAACATGAACTCGATACCGATGGAAATTTCTACATGGCTTGAAAACCACACCCTGTTGAAACTTGAGCTACCGAGGACTTGTGTATGCTCGTCCGCCGCCTCTAGACTGCGGACCATTATGCGAATTCCACTTTTCATAGGTTGTTTTATAAAAATCAATAGCGAGCACGGTTTTACCCACTGATTCCGAGATTCCTTTCGGTAAAGATAAATGAAAAATACGTGAAAAAAGAGGCCGCAGTTCGGTCGTCTCATTTATATTCATTGCTTGAAATCGTTTCGTAGTGACGGTGTGATTTCTAAAATTCTTTCTGGAAACTCCGCTCTTTCTTTAGTCAATTCAGACGATGAAGATAGCGCATTTTTGTAGTCTTAACATTTGGAATCTTTTTACTGTTTTACATTTAACCGGGTTTCGTTAGAACGCGTGCAATTCGCAGTCTAGTGGTTGCATTTCGATCCGAGTTCAATGGATAATGCATCTGTGCAGTTTAAATATTCTTAATCCTTCGCTGATAAGATATCTTTCTACGAACGCGGTTGGCAAACTGAGTGTTTTAAGTCCGAGCCTGCATTTTTTATTGTTCTAGGCTTTTAAAAAAGTCTGAATAAATTCTGGAGTACTTGTTGAAGTTTCCAATTTAACCCTCGCAGGAACTTTGGACGTTCACGCGCAGTCCTAATTTTATTGTCATTGTCATTATTCATTGTCATTGTCATTATTCATTGTCATTGTCATTATTCACTGTCATTGTCATTATCATTGCCATTGTCATTATCATTATCATTATCATTATCATATTATCATTATCATTACTATTATTATTATTATTAGTATTACTATTATTATTACTATTATTATTATTATTATTACTATTATTATTATTACTATTATTATTGCTATTATCTCACCGTATTTTCTTTTACACAGTAATTATACTTGCTACATTTGTTCCTGTGTTCGTTGTCGTTGCCCTAACATAAACAATTGGCAGACGACATCAAGTGTCAAACGGTCAAGGTTATTTAGGCTCTGGGTCTGAAAAAAAACCCGGAGGTGGTACGGCGAGGGTTAATGTGTAAGTTGATGATTAAGATCTTTTAGGTTAGGGAACCGGGTAGCTCGACCTACCCAACCTTTACTCTTCGAAGATATTCAAAGATGAAAATTTCGCCTGGGTTCTTAAAAACTCAGCTCGCTGATGGAGAAATATGTACATTAAAAAAGACCGATGAATTTTTGCTACTGAAATTTTCGAATGAATTTTTACTATAAGGAATTTTCTAGTAATTGAATCCGGTTTGTACAAAATGATGTACGGACAAAAATTGTGAGAATTACGAAAGGGAAAGTTGCACGTTGCACATGTCCTGTTCTCGCGACGAACAAGGGACGGGATGTGTTAATTACGTAGCAGTTTCCATTATCAGACCAAACACGATTTTTGTCGAGTAATTTGACGCGGTTCGCGGGTGCATTAAGATGGCCGCATTCAATGCGAGCATTTTCTTAATAACTAAGTATGATAAAATTAATTAATAAGTATGTTTCCCGGTTTCTACGAAACTACCCCTTAAGGGACTCGTTAATACGCAGTAAATGCAAGAGCTCTGTAGAAATTAGAGCTGGAAACTTTGAAGCCATCCAAACCATACCGTCGGGCGTGAAGTTTCTACTTCGGAATACCCTTTAAATAACCGTAATACTAATTGCACTTTCCCCGGGAGATTGAAACAATTGAATGTGAAAATAATTCTGTGTACCTCCAGCTCCGCCGACTGTCGCGCAGAATGATTTCTATCAAATAAAGCCGGCATCGAAGCCAATTCTCTTCCCGCGAAACGGTACGCCAGATTCGCGAGAGCATTCTCCGTTGCAAATTCCGCGAAATTAACGAAATATTATATTTCGACGGAAAAATTTCGAGAATTTCGCTCACTTTAATTTATCCTGTTACGGCGGTATTGTGCCGCGAATTCTAGGGGGTTGTCGGCTCGAAGAGTGCTACCACCGACAGCCAGCTTTCTACACCCCGGGAACGTGACTTTCATTTCTTCTACCAGAAAGTTTCTCGGACGCGTGAGAGATGCGAAATATTGGAAACTCCGTGTTGCATTGTCCATTACTACTTCGTTGTTGTCGAAGAAACGATGAATTATGCATAAGGCAGACGCGCGCGCGCGGCGCCCCTCTGATCGAGGAACTTAACGCGCGAACTTCTCCCCGACAACTATTACGGTTCGAAGGTGAGTTGATGAAAATATGAGGCACCCCGGAAGTTCGAATGGTATAAATTTACGGCGGCGGAACTTTAAGGTTATGTACCCCGGGCCCCGCAACTTCCTGCGAATAAATTTTGAGAAATCGAGGCGGCTTCATAATAAGATATTCGAAGAAATCAGAAACTGGCAACTCGTTCGCGCTCGACGATGGGGCCGCGACGTTTGAGCAACTGGAACATTTGTATTCCGCGGCAATCAAAGTTTAAGGCTGCGAAACCAACGTGCTGGTTCTAAGTCGACACGGATGGGAACTGCCGCTATTGGCCTCAGCGGGAAATACGCGATTCGAATCGTGATTATTATCATCGAATTGAAAAATAGCGCACGTGCACAAATTCATTCCTAGCCTCCATGATTGAGTTAGTGTTTTTTTAACACGTCGAGTGCCGCGTCGGTCACATATGGGTCATACTAATGTTTAATCAGATTAAAAAATTCATTTCCATTGTAATATATCGAACAAACTGAACGTTACTAGGATATTTAGAATTCAAAAGAGCTAAAATAATGTATTTAGTATTTCAACCAGTTAGCTGTTTTTTCGACGAGTAAGGTAAAAGTGCCTGATACGATGACCCATTTCCTTTTAAAATCACAATTTACTATTGAAAACGCTTTTATTAAAAATAGACACGCGTTAAAAAACTAAAATATTGATTCTTTTATATTCTACTGGAAAATGCAGAAAAAAATTTCGCGTCTGATTAAACTTCTAACTGCGATTTCATTAATTAAATAACTTTGATGCTGCGAACATTTTTATGGCGGTTGTCCGGCACTTAACACGTTAATAAAAGTAATCGCTATCCATTGCGCGTTGCCGTAGTCTGTATCGATTTGCATCCAATTTTGTAATATTATTATGTTAAAATAAAAGCGGCAGCTTCTTTCAATAGGGTGGATAATCCTGTTTCAACTTTTACTTTGATTGTTCGTGAATAAACAACGAAGGAGAAGCTACAAATTAGTTCGCCGAGTCTCTGTAACAGTACTCCGTCTTTTAAATCACAGAACACGTTGCCGTCTTTTCGAACGATTTGTAGATTGAAGTATATTTTTTTAGTCTAAATGCCCGAAACGAGTGAAAAGAAATGTCGCGCAAGCAATTATCTTACAATGTAGCGAAAATCGATGCGCAGAGAATTTTACTGAGGTCATGAGAATCTCTAGGGTGCCGTTGCAGAGTTAACCCAGCGCCCCGAAGCTGTTTCGGACTAAAATCCAAACATTTCGTCCGATCTGAAATACTTCCATCGCGCATACTTTCGTCGTTTTATGCATATGAAATTAGATACATTCGCTCGCGTCTCGGTTAGATTTCCATGGATTTTCTTGAACTCGACAATCACAAAATTCTTTCGTATACCGAAATTTAATGCATTCGGTCTTATGAACGATCAATTTATGAAATCGGGAAGTTCCGCGTCGTAAACAATGTATCGTATTAGCAAATTTTAGTATCGTTTCAGAGTTTCCGATCGAGTGCCAAGGATTGAGCACCGCACAAAACTGGATTGCGCTAAAGGTCAAACGTTCTGTTTGCTGTGACGATTGCGACGGTCGGCGCGGCGTGTTGTTGCATTTTTCCAGCCCCCGTGGTAATCAAGTTCAGATGTCCTTGGCGCATACTATTCCTTAAACGGGCCGGTAAACAACGGTTAAGTGGCTAGAAGGGTGGTCGACGTTGCGAATTGCCCGAGCGACGCGAAACACGTTCGAAATCCGTCTGTTTAACAATCAAACAGACCGCGTATTCTGTTTAACCATATAGATAAAAATCGACTGGGCCGAGCGAGAACGGTCGATTACAGGGTAAGCATATTTGAACAGTTATTACACTGGACGTACTTCGCATCGTGATCGATCATCGCCGGGTCCGACTTCGCCGAGAAACGTGTAAATAATAGACTTAACGAGAACCGCGCGGCGATCGTGAGGCTTTAAGGGATTTACGGGATAGCTTTCAATTATATCGACAAGGGTGAAGAACCAGGTCTACGCGGGCCCGGCTCTACAAATCGACGGGTAATTATTAATTACGAGACGAAGAGATAAAAACGGGAAAAAAAGAAGAAAAGGGACCCCCGCGGGGTGAAGAATCTTCGTACGAACTTTTCCTTTCGCCGGCGATACGGCACGGGATTCGATATTAAAGGTGGCCCGACTCGAACTTTGTTTATAATTGACTGCAGCATAGGGTAATTAACTAGTTTTAGAAGCTGATTAAAAGCACGCCGATCGTCTGTTCCCCTATTGCCGGCAAACATGCACTTTTCGGTAAATATATGCGATAAATCGCGTGAGAATCGCGCGGCCGTTTCTCAAATTTATTGCGACACATAATTGGGGGTGTCTAGAAATGCAAGCCCGCTCGTTTATACACCCCTGCTGTTGGCGGACACGTGCGCCGCGCGCGCCCATTGGCGCAAATCAGGGAAATATTATAATAACGCCCCCCCCCCCCCCCCCCCCCCCCCCCCCCCCCCCCCCCCCCCCTCNTATTCTGTTTAACCATATAGATAAAAATCGACTGGGCCGAGCGAGAACGGTCGATTACAGGGTAAGCATATTTGAACAGTTATTACACTGGACGTACTTCGCATCGTGATCGATCATCGCCGGGTCCGACTTCGCCGAGAAACGTGTAAATAATAGACTTAACGAGAACCGCGCGGCGATCGTGAGGCTTTAAGGGATTTACGGGATAGCTTTCAATTATATCGACAAGGGTGAAGAACCAGGTCTACGCGGGCCCGGCTCTACAAATCGACGGGTAATTATTAATTACGAGACGAAGAGATAAAAACGGGAAAAAAAGAAGAAAAGGGACCCCCGCGGGGTGAAGAATCTTCGTACGAACTTTTCCTTTCGCCGGCGATACGGCACGGGATTCGATATTAAAGGTGGCCCGACTCGAACTTTGTTTATAATTGACTGCAGCATAGGGTAATTAACTAGTTTTAGAAGCTGATTAAAAGCACGCCGATCGTCTGTTCCCCTATTGCCGGCAAACATGCACTTTTCGGTAAATATATGCGATAAATCGCGTGAGAATCGCGCGGCCGTTTCTCAAATTTATTGCGACACATAATTGGGGGTGTCTAGAAATGCAAGCCCGCTCGTTTATACACCCCTGCTGTTGGCGGACACGTGCGCCGCGCGCGCCCATTGGCGCAAATCAGGGAAATATTATTATACCGCCCCCCCCCCACCCCCTCCCCAGCAATATTACGCGCGTTCGTTTTATACGTACCAAAAATATATGAAATAACTGGAAGACTTATGACATTTTCGAAGCTATTTAAAAAATCATTACGAGCTTGCACCTTGCAGCCAGTTGGTGTCGCTGTAGAGACCGTAAACTCTCTCTTCCATTTCTATTTACGTTAGAACACAGCCGACAAATAAAAAACAATCAAAGCAGTGACACTCGTATTTTCCATTCTCTCCAAACAAAATTTCAACGCTCCTGATTTTCAAGATTATGGCTTCCTAATAATCCTTGCATGTTCCTCGAAGACAATTTATAGTTCTTAAATTTCGGTTTTTACCTGTTTGTATTGTAAGCCAGTTGTTTCGACGCTGTAATATTTATATACTTTACATAGTATATGTACATTATATTATGTAGCAGAAATATGATATACAATGTGAAGTATAAAGCGTAAATATATAAATATACTATGTGAAGTTTAAATCAAAAATAATTGAACTGCCACCGTAGGATCTCTTATGGAACTATTTCAGAGCAACAATACTTAATCGTACGACGATTGATCTCTGCTCGTATCTTTTCTCTTATTTCTATCTAATCTTTTCTATTTCTTATCTAATCTTTTCTCTTATTTCTTATAATGTTAGGACAACGTAAAAGCGTTTCCGCGATTTCGATTGCGTTAAGATAGATTGACAGATTCTACTCACGCCAGGATGCTCGACATGTGGAAAATCTCGGCGTTCAGGTAGGCCAGATACGCCATAACGAATATGAAGATGGGTTCGATTACACGGACCTGATGGGTGAACCTGGTAACGAAGCCTGTCGCGAAGCCCCATATCACGCCTATTATGGTACCACCAATAGCCACGACGAAGAACGACGCCAGCCCCGACAGTAAGTCTGTGTAAAGGATTCTCGCAGGTCCCATCTCGCTGTACGCCTCGAACATGTGGTATAGCACCTGCGGGTCATTAAAAAGTGACGACTTGCGTGGCTAATCGAGCGATTCGACTACGGCCGCACGGTGGATTCTATGCCCATAAGCGAAATTGGAGGGTCTGCGCGAGCCAAGGACGTCATATTAATTATCCCGCGCACGAATATTTCTTCGAGCTCGCACACTTTCACGAGCCAATGGTTTATCGAACCGCGGAAAAGCTCCGTAAAAACTACTCGATTAGGTAGAACAAGACTCGGAGAATCGAATTTCGATATTCGTCGCATCAGCGCGCTGTCGATACCAAAATGGCGGCCGACTAGATAGATACACGTTGCTCGCTATATCCCATCTATTGAAAATATTAATCACAATTACGCCGCGGATCTTCGTGCAAAATGAGTAAAATGAACATTGTTTCTTTTAGGCAAACTGCAAGAAACGAAAGTTAAGTACAGACGATTATTCAGTTTCTAAATGATAATTTGACAGCGACAATATAATTATTTTGGTGTTTCGCGATAAAATCGGCAGTCCAATCATGCGCTTTAATAATGTATTAATTTTCAAGGTTTCTCTTCTTACCGACGTATTATCATAAAATCGTTTCATACGATTCTTCTGCTTCGATCGAAGAAGCAGCGTCTATACAAACATTCTGTTCGCGCCCGGAAAATCCAATCATGATCTTTATTCCGAATTTGAACGCGATTGCAAACGCGATTTAATCTTGTTTTATCTACGGTTATGTGCTTCGGCTCTGATTAAGATCGACCGGTGTCGCTGGATCAGAATGATCCGTTCAGAATGAGTCTCATTTAGAACGGGGAGAAATACTCACGACGGTGACGGCGTCGTTTAAGAGACTCTCTCCGAAAACCACGATGTAGAGGATCTCGTTCACGTGGATCTCTTCGAAAACTGCTAACACGGCAACAGGATCCACGGCACTAATCAACGCGGAGAAGAGGAACATGTCCAGGAGCGGTGTTTCGCAGCCGTAAAGGCCGCTTATGCCTAACAGCCATAGCGATGCGCCTAGAAACAACGTTAAAGGCTAAACAAAAAAACCCTGGTTACTCGGTCGCAATCGTTTCGATCGCCGGAATCGAAGTTGAAGTCGAATAATCAAGTAAAAATGTCAGCGGTATCTCGATAGCAGATCCTTACGTGTCCTTCATTAATTGTGTCTCCGTGTCTAATCGCGATGGGCGGAATGTACCTGATAAATTCGGATCGGGAAACCGGCTTCAAGTTGCTCGAAACAGCCGGAATAATCAAGTAAAAAAGTCAGCGGTATCGATAGCAGATCCGAACGTGTCCTTCATTAATTGTGTCTCCGTATCTAATCGCGATGGGCGGAATGTACCTGATAAATTCGGATCGGGAAACCGGCTTCAAGTTGCTCGAAACAGCCGGATTTCTTTTTTTCTTTCTTTCTTTTTATCGTCGTTCGGACTCGCTCGAGATGTGTATCGGTGAAAAGCAATCAACGCCGGATTTAAGATTAATTAGTGTAGAGTATACGGGCGGTTTCTGGTTAAGGTAATTTGTCTAACGTCCCATCAGGATCGGGACAGAATTGAAAGCAAGTATTTTCCAGACCGGTGACAATACTGCTCGGAACAATGCAAACATAAAGCTTCCGATACTCATCGACGATAGCCATTATTTGGTAAAATAAAGCTCCGCCGATTGATAGGAAGATATCACCGTGAATGCGTTCGGTCCTCTTTCAAAGTTCGTCGACACATTCCAGTGAGCTTCCGATAATCGGGCAAAATATTTCCGTGACAAAGGGAGACTAAAAAGTATTGGAAAATGATCGTCGGATATTAATCCTCCTAGAAATTATGGCAAGACGAAAATTGGACGAGCGTCGCGAGACGCGGCCACCGCGATTTTTAAATCGCACCGACGCCCGGAAAATTCTTCCGGCGGACCCGTTCATCGTTAATAATAACGGGTTTCCCCGAAACTCGCGAGAAGTCTTTAATTATCACAGTTTGGAAGGGGATACGTTCGTTGCGATTTCGCAACGACGACGACTATGCGTTTTCGCGCGCTCGTGGACTCGTGAAACAGAAATTTCACGAAAGAAACGTTTCAATTGATCGAAATGTTTCCCCTGTCTATCATCTATGAAACTCGACGCTTCCGTCTTCGGATCATTGCGAAATACATACATAGGTGGTGGAACCTCGGACTGGAGGAGAGAAATGCATATTTTTGTTTCCTCGGCTGACTAGTTCCGCAACAGTCGATCTTGCGCAATCTCGAAACACGCGTCAGCGATCGCACGCGAAACGCGTAATAGTTATACGTATAGGACTGCGTATATTTTGAAACTCTTGCCGATCGTAAATTGGCTTTTGAGAACCGTTACGTCGATCAGTAAAATTGATAGCAGAATGCCCGTCGGGAGGCGACGCTTCCCGCCTGTAAATTTCCGCTTGCCGATTATGTGAGATTTTATGTTACGGTAAGTAGGCGGAAGTTCAGTTATATCGGACACCCGACTTCGAGCTTGCCAACAAAGGGGAATCTGATCCTCCAGCCGCATTATCGAAGTTAAAACATTTCGAAATTTAAGCGGAGTTACCGAAGACGGGCGAGCAAATAATTGAAGTTTTCATCGTTCTGCATCATCGTCTGCGCCGACACATTTATTATTTGCGTTGATCCTGGCTGCGTCAAAAATATCAACCGTTCGAATTCACAGGGCCACCCCACCCCCCCGCAAATATTTTCACCGAGAAAAGCCGGTCTCCAAACAGCAATTTTATTTTTGTATTTACAGGTTGACTCGGACAACTCCCGCATTTCGAATAACATCCGATTTATACGTTTTATGAAACACCGTTGAATCGTTTGCCTTCCTTAAAGCTACGCAACCATCGTATTTAACAATTCTCCATAAAGCGCACGATTCAGAAGTTATTTAAGTTACGCGGCTCGCTCCGTATAAACGTATGCGTGTATATCGCGGTAATAAAAAAACGAGCAGGCGGAGTTATTAACGACAACGGGAGAAACAGTGTGTCGCGCTGGAGCCGGCGGGGAATGTTGCAGCAACAATTCGGGATTGTAGTTCAAAGTCGGCGAGTTGCCGGCGACGGTTCAACTTCGGCCGGTGTAATTAAAAAAAGAAGAAATCAGCGGAAATCCGGGAAAGAAGGTCGGCAAACTGAAATTCGACTTCAACTTCTGGATTATCCTGTGCACGGGGTGCCCGGCGGGGTTGTAACGCGCAGGCGTCGAACGGAAATAAAAGGACAACTGCGGGAAAGGTGGAAGAGAGAGAGAGAGAAAGAGAGAGAGAGAAAGGGAGAGAGAGAGAGAGAAAGGGAGAGAAAGAGAGAGAGAGAGAGAGAGAGAGAGAGAGAGAGAGCGGCCAGCAGGTAAACGGGCCAACGCGCGCGATGTTAATCCAGGGAACGAAACGGATTAGAGCTGGCGGGAGTGAGATGGGACGGTGGGATAAAAAATGCAAATAAAAAGGGAGGAGGAGAGATAGAGAGAGGGAGAGAGAGAGAGAGAGAGAGAGAGAGAGAGAGAGAGAGAGAGAGAGGAGAAGAAAAATCCGGTCGCGCGACGTCGGGAAACGACACGCCGGTGCCGTTTTATCCGTTTCACCTACCTATCGACAGCGTGTTAAATATAGTCCCGACGACGGCGAAGAGAAGTATCGTCCCCAGGTGGTCGAAGAACAGTCGGTTCGGCATGAAATAACCGGCGTCCAGGATAATGGGCGGCAACATGTAGAGGAAGAACGTGTCGGGCGTGAGCGGCGACACGTGGACACTACTCGCCTGGAACAGTAAGACACCAACGACGACGCCGACAACGATCAGCAAACAGGACTCCGGAAAGATCTTGTTGAGCTTCGGCGTCATGTGGAAGCCTGCACGTACAATTGCAACTTAACGGTCTCCCTTGGAACCGTTCACGTTCGAGACGTTCGATTGCTGGCGGTCTCTGCGCGAACACTCACCTGTTCCCGCCCTCGCGCTAAACGCTGTCGCACTATTGGCAGACAGCTACGAAACGGGCAGCAATTAATATGCTCTTTCGCGTTGCGCCGATGTCGATTACAGCGGGGCCCCGATTATCCGAGCCAAGCAGAGTGACGCGAACGTTCGGATTACAGAGGCAGAGAGCCGGATTTTATTCATTTATACAGGAAATCGTTTTGCATACGGTTTACCTCAAATCGAGCTGATTATATGTAGAACGCATCGGAGCCCCGCATAATCGAAATTCTACCCGTAGCAGAGGAATTTTGATTACTCGAGGAGCGACGGAGAATTTATACATTGAATTTTGCGACGCGTAATGAGAAACGCGGCGAGAAAGAGGGATTCGCGATTGTGATCTCTAAATAACGAAGCGCTGTTTAGCAAGAGGATCCATTTCGGAGGTAATGGATAGAGAAACGAGAGGAAGCCGATCGATAATTAAAATGGGATTGGCGAGAGTTTTTTTTTGCAAAATGACGGCGGGAACATCGGAATGTGTTCTTGCCCGTTAACGAACACAGTGAAAATTGGTCCGCGGTCCGTTTCCTCTGTGCAGCGAATCGATCATCGCGATGACCTACGGCTACTATCGGTTTTCCGGCGGGGGAGGAAAAAGAGACGTAGAACCGTCGGCGGTGGTCCACGGAAGAAAATGGAAAACACGGGAACGCATTTTGGCAACTGGCCGCCAGCAACAGAACGCCCCGACTGAAAAGATCGTGATTGGGAATAAAAGGAGCGTCAGGTAGCTCGAATTTCCGTGGCACTCTATTGTCGTTCGCGCCGTATCGCAAGCCACGGCGCTTGGTTATTGAAAATTCTGAAATATGTTGCTATAGTTAGATCGCGATCGATTCTGCTCGGTCAAGGTCACCGAGAGACTAGCCAAACCCGCGCCGCGTGTCGTCCGCTGTTCTCGGGAGTCTAGTCACGCGGCGATCGCGGGCCACGTCGAGTGCAAAATGAAAACAAAGACCGGAAAAGCCCGACTAAAACGACGATCCGAAATACGCCGCTGAAGGGAACAGATTCTGGAACCCGTTTTTCTTTTTTTCTTTTTTTTTGGAATAACAAACGGTGACAAGCACGGGGCGAGAGGCGAGCGAGAGGAGCGTTCGGGGTTTGGGAACGGACAATGTGTTCACCGAAACAGAAATCGTTCCCGGCGCGACACGCGGAATGGAGGAAGTGACCTCGAACGCTCCGCAGTATTCGACCCGGTTCTACCACCGCGCAAAATGCAACAACGTCCGAGTTGTGATCGCAACGGGTACCAACGAGACCAGCAGCGGGAAGCGCTCGCGTCGAGGCCGCTCGACACGGACCCGGGATCAAGTTCCACGGGTGCCCGTACCTATTTTCGCGATGCTAGCGAAGAAGATCCATATGCCGATCACGAACGGGGTCTCGACCCTGTGGAACTCCACGGCGATGATGTGGTACTCGGGCTTGGGACGGCTGAAGTCCCTGGCGCCGATCATGCCCACCTGCGAGGACAAATGCGATTCGACCGGACCGCCCTCGTCGTTTCCAGCCGAGAGGCTCCTGAAGGACACGTCGTCCGGCAGGGAGCCGTCGATCGGCCCCATGGGTCCGAAACTCTTTCCGGGATACGGTTCTCTCAAGTCCCTGGGAAACTCCTGGTCGTCGACGATCGGCCCGTGGACAGCGTAGTCGCTGGCCGGCACGCGTTTCTCCGGAACGGATTCGAAGAACTTGGTGGAGACTGCCAGGCCATGCTGCGGCCAGCAGGCGGCGAATAGGAGCAGAGCGACCAGCACCATCATCGCGGAGCCTGCAGCAGCACGTGGAGCCATGACGACGTAGCACGTGGACACCGGAGATGCTGTTGGCGGGGACTGCGCTCGACGCCCGCGCTCGTCCACCGGTTCTGAGTCACTCGCTCTACCATCAGAAGGGACCTCCAGCTACGAGGAAGCTGCAGGCTCCTAGGCTCCTGCTGTTCGCGTCGCTGGGGGATCTCACCCTCGTCGCCGGTTCGTTACACCCTCGCTTCCTGCGGCTTGTACGGGAGCGGAGCTGGCTCGATTGTTCCTGGATTTATCGAGGGCACGGTCCGTGTCTCGAGTGCTGGCCGCGTCTAATTACATAGCAGTTTCGTGCACCTCGCGCGTTCCGTCGTTCCCTTATCACGCACGTGGAAGACGATCGTTTTGAGGTTATTGATATTACCCTCTTCCTTCCTCTCTCTCTCTCTCTCTCTCTCTATCTTCGTTTCTATTTACCCAGTTCTTATCGGAGCCACGCCGGACAGTCGGTCTCCAAATAGGGACAAGAGCTTCGATGGTATGCGTTCACACAGACAGGCTGGAGGTCTGGTTTGGGCTGTCGAAGTGCTCGTGGAGCCTGGTCGATTTTCCCGAGTGTCGTCGCGACGGTCTATATCCGTCACCCGGCGACCCTTTCCGGTGACAGGCTCGGACGATTTTACGGCCGAGTCAACGAACCCCTGGCAGACACCTACGCGCGGCCAACCAAATTCACACCCGTCCGGTTATTAGAATTCATGGCCAGCCAAGCAAAGGAACGAGCAAGCAAACGGCAGCAGGGACCGCCGGGACGTGGCCGAGCACCGCATTTGTTTTGCTACTTACCGCGTCGCTGGTTCTACGCTGCGCCTCGGAGCTCGCCCCTAGTATATCGGCCGGGTATCGACGGGCGAAATCCTGTTCGTACGCAGCTGCAATAGAACCGAGCCGTGGACGAAGCACTGGCCTGGGGGGCCTCCTGGAGAATTTATTTACACATCGTCGCCCGCGAGCCGGAGGACCCACTCGATCTCGTCGCGATGCGAGGCAGCCGTTTCGCGGCCAGCTTCAAGGAAGAGGATAGCGCACCCTGGACGTCGACTTTCTTGTCACTGTCGTGCTTCTGTATCGCGCAGCAGGGTCCTTCGCGGTCTACGATATCCTGTAGAGGCAGAGGCAGCCCTCTCTCGTCTCGAGCAGCGAGGAGGATCTTCGATCGTCGGAGGGATCCAGAGGGTGGTTCGCCAAGAAAATGGACCTACCGATGATCCAGTCGTCGGACAACACTCGTGGAATTGTCTCGCGCGAGGGTGCAATCTATGATAAATCCTCCGTCCAATCACAGCGCTGGTACTGGCTCGAGGATGGAGATCCTATAGCGGGCTCCAGGTATTGTTACACACAGGTCGGTCCGTCGACGGCCCGGTGGCCGGATCGATAATCAGGTTCGCTCTCAAATCTGGTGGCAGCCAGAGGCGAACGCGTCGCGAGCGTTCTGCATACGTCGTGGGCCGAGAACGACTCTGTCGAGGTAGCAGCGGCGAGGACGAGGAGGCATCGTTGCATCGGAAGTGCGGCGTTCCCAGGTGCGCTTCGATCGACCGTCACGGCAGCACTGCGCGAAATTAAATCACCGCACGAGCCGGCTCCGCAACACCGAGAAAGAACACCATTGCCACGGCTAAGGGCACGAACAACGCTGCCAAAAACGTGCGTAACCGTCGACCAGGCTATCCATGACGTCGCTAGTGATAGCCGATGGATGCGCGCGGCTGCTCCGTCTCTCTCGTACTAGCTTCGCCCGTCGTACCTCCGCTTCGATCCTCTTCCTTCCTCTCGCGGTCGCCGATCTATCCGTCTCCGTCTCGCACGGCGGCGTCTCCTCGCGCGTCCCTTCGACGCTTCCAGCCAGCTGATCGTTGCGGGAACCCGCGCAGGCGTCGCGACGCTCCGATATATGTTGAACCGCGGGACGTCGTTGGGCGTGCTTGGACGTGCGAGGCCAGGCGAAGCGTCGCGACGCTACGCGGCGCCCCCGGGATCGTTGTTGAGAATTTCGCCGCTGGAGGCAGCCCGTCCCGCGTCCCCAGCACACACCGACCATATGGACAAATTGTAACGGGAATTGGAATTCCTCGGCCATGCTGATCGATGATGACGATGATGGCCGCTTTGGGGCCGAAAGGATTTATACAGGCGGCGATGCACGCTGCGCTCGTTTGCGAACCTCGCACCGCCGGCCGGCCAGCCCGCCCGCCGAAAAACCGGCGGTCCGCGTCCAATGTTTTCCGTTCCCGAATCCCGCTGAGCATGATTTATCCGGCCGCGATAAATTCCGCGCGTCTTGCTCGTTATTTCGCAGCTTTGTTATTTAAACGAGCACTCGCCGCACCGCTTCGAATTTATGAATGACCCGCTCGAACGCCTCGAGAGACGTTCGGGGGGTGCAGCGAATTCTGCGCTTCCGCGGCGCGATTCCACGCGTCCACGCATTATTCTCCTTTCGTTCTATACGCGCGATACTCGAATTATTAAAAAAAGTTCGAACGCTCCGCTTCTAATCCGCGAGACCGCCGCGTCGGTTGTCACCGGTTAATTAACCGCTGTACATTTACGATCTTCGAATGCATTGAACGGTTAATGTTTTATACGTTCTCCGGCGCGCCGAACAGCGGAGAAAAGTTTGTAATCCCCGTGAATAATTAAGAACGCAAAGTGGGCTGGTTCCCGTGACTAAGAGTGCTAACTCGTGTAACATGCTGAAAATAACGCGGTTTTTAGGAATGTATCCCATGGAAACTTTCCACGGTGCTTTGCAGCCAACGTTGCTGCATATTTCAGGGCCTAGAGAAAACAGGTTTCCGAAATGCGAATCAGCTATCGTCGGACACACGCCGCGGTTATCGCCACACGCGTTCGCCCGAAACGGAATAATTAAGAGGCAGCGGAGACGGACGATCATTATTTTTGCTCGTGATATCGACGGTACATCATTTACTTTCTTACATTTGACACTTCGTTTCCGAAGCACACGTCGTCCACTTTGACGGCGTAATCAATATTCCTTTCAGTTCCTAGACCGCTGTGTTCGAAAAGAATTGTCTTTTGTTCGAACCGTTCCGGAGCCAAATAGCAATTAGTATCGCTAAGCGTAATCGACGAACTTCTTTTCCACTACCGTTAGGCCACGTAGATTCGAATCTAAAAGCCTCTCGTTACGTCTGATACACGGCTGTAAAATCGACAGTAACTTTGTTAATAGATCGCGTTTCAATCCTCACCTTGGGGAATCTATTCGACAGATGCAGCACTATCGGCTTATGCAACAAAGTCGGGTATGCAGGACCGGTTACGTGAGCCGCAGCCCTTAACGCAGTGCTGTTCTTCCATCTTCGGTGTCGGCAGCTTGCGGAATTCGTCTCTGCCATTTATTTATGGATTTCTCGTAAGTGAGCCATGAATTTTTGAGGACGCCGTGTAGAACGTAGGTGGGTCGGGTTGCACGCCTATACAGACTGGAGGCGACCTTAAACCAGCGATGTGTCCCGACGACGACGCTTGGATCTGGGAGACACCGGCGCCCTTGACCTTGTCACTGTTGCGCTAGCGAAATGTTCGCCTCGACGCGACATTCAGCTCGCTGCCTGCCAGCCTTTTCGATCATGCTCTGCGACCTACCTTCCCCACCCTTCCTAGCATACTTACCTGTTTTCAACGCGCCGACGACCGACCCGACCCCGCTAATCGGTTCACGAACTTTTAATTAAGGGGTCACGACGAAACTGCCCCAATTTTTCCCCATAGGCTAGCGGAGCCGGTTACCGTGTCTACTGGTTTGTTTTTCGGGAATAATTAACCTTATATTTATCGAATAAGACACATATTAAATTTTGTTTATTCTTTTATCTTGCTCAGTTTCGAATGGAAGAATTTAATAATTTTTATTCGATGAATATAAAGTTAATTATGCCGGAAAGCAAACCAAAGGCACAGCAATTGGTCAACCCACAGTAACCGGCTCCGCTACTCTATTTTCGTCTCGGTCCCGCTCCGGCAAACAAACTGCGATAATAGTTTTGTTTGCGTCCGCGGAATAGAAATAGTCGCAATAATTGAATGATGTCTATTCACAGGGCGTCCCTTTGTCCGAGAAATAAACATGTTTTTTCGCTGTTGTTTTCACCGGTGGGCGGTCCATTGACAAAGGTGAGGAATCAGCCGCGGTGGGTGGGCGCTGTTTTCATTATTAAATCGCGAATGAACACATTTTTTTTTTGCTAGCCACAAAGAAACGGGATATTTTTTGCTGGGGCCGGACTCCGTTTTGCGAAAGCGCGCCAATTATTATGGGAGTTCGGTGTGCAGCCACTAGCCGTGACGGTCTAAAGTTACTCGCAAATTATTGACTGCACGGAAAAGTATTTCGAACAAAAGTTTCGCGGCCTCGATGCCGCCGCGTGATGCAACAATTCGTTTCTTTTGTGTTCATCATTTTTGTCGAGATAGAAAGTTCGTTTCCAGGCTTTTGAATCGGACAGCCAAGTATTTGTTGCTGCACGTCGGTTGAATTCCAGCGGATTCTTACAATTTTTGGGAAGGCGAGATCACGTTTCGCGTTTAATTAAAAACACAATTCCGAATATTGACGGTGGCAATAAATAAGACAATAAATACAAGCAAACAAGAACATTATCGAAGAAATTAAACTTTGTTTTCACACTAATTGTTTATAACGACTCAATCGGGTCTTGCGTTATCGCGTAAGTTCAACGACGTCTAAGAAAGATTTTTTTAATCTTCAAGCGGTGACCCCTGTTTTAACCCCTTGTCGTCATGGAAATTTCTAGGAACAACTTATCGAGTATAGATGTTATTCTGTCCTTTAAAAAAATTGAAATAAAATTCTAATCTCTTGTCATCGATAATTGAGCATTCAAGTAAATTTAGGCACACGATAAGCACCGATTTCCTTTCCCTTCTAAGAAATTATTGCAATCGAAAAATTTTTAATCGCAGTAGCTACGAAGAAAATGGTACGTCAACGGGTTGAAACAATATACGACTGATATTATATATTGGGTTGGCAACTAAGTAATTGCCGATTTCAGTTATTAAACTATTATTAAACTATTTCAATTTCATATTTCACAGATATCGCTCGTTAATCCTTACCGAATACGAGTATATTTTTGTATGCAAACGGAGAAACTTTAGCCAAAGTTATGCTAGTTTCACCGCTCCAGCCTAGATTGAAAAATTGCCAGTGGATGTTTCAGATAATGTCACTTTGGG